GGAAAAAACAAAGGGGGAAAAGAGAAAAGAGGGAGAAGAAAAAAAAGGGAAAAAAAAAGGAAAAAAAAAGGAAGGGAAACAGGGTGACAGTGGTGAATAGAAGAGGAAGAGTAAGGGCCATCAACTCACCTTCAAGGGAAAAAAGATCGGGAACCAACTAATCATGCCCTCGCTCTTTTGGTCCATGGTCTCCGGATTCGTCGACAGCTCGACGCCCTTGTAGAGCACCGTCTCAAAGTACCCCGCCAGCCCGTGGCATGCGCCCCGATGCGGGATGGGGAACGTCAACTGACACGAGCGGGCGTTGTGGTTGTTTGTGAGGGAGGGTTCGGTCGTTGTCGTCCCGATGGTCGAAGGCGTCAGGCTGGGCAGGGCCGGGTTCGGGTGCTGGAACGCCCATGTCTGCTGGATGATGGGGACTGGCGTCGGTGGTACTTGTGGCGGGGGCGGGGAGAACGATTGCTGCACCGGCTGGCGAGTGTGCGCTTTGGAATATGGCGTCGCCGTCGTGTCTGCCGTTTCCGAGGGGGAAGTAGGACTCGATAAATCGCCGGGAATTGGACGACGGTGGATAGTACTCACAGTTCCCGGCATTTTATGCTGTGCCTCAAATTCCGCAGCAGCAGCACCCGGCTTCGTGCTCAGGTAGTCGATTGCGTTGAACATGACCACATACGGCGTCTCGCTCGCGTTGGCGTTGCTGGTCATCCCGTGCAAGATGTCCGCGTGGAGCTTGGGCGCCGCGATCGGCGTGACATGCGCCGTGTACGAGGCCGGGATGGAGATTCCGTGCACGGGGTTCAGGAGGTGCTGGACCCCATCGAGACATTCCGGGGACAGCTCGTTGTCGCCAAAGGATCCTAGGAGTTCGCTGATCAGAATGTCAATCTTGTACGGCGTTGGGGTCGTAGTAGTCTGGGCGGTTGTGGCAAGTAGGTTCGTGCTATCGAGACTGGGTGATCCTGTAAAGGTTGATTCGGGACCACCAGGGGTGGCTTCTTCTTTCCCCGAAGTCTTGTCCTTCTTATTGTCGTCGTCATCGTCGCTGTCTGCGGAGGTGTTGTATCTTCGAGTCGGTCGTGGTGTGTCCGCAGCGCGAATAGGTCCCCTCCACGTCCTCATGTCCGATTTCACCAGATTTACCCGGCCATTCCACGTCATCTTGTTGTGACGCTCGAGAAGGACAAATGCGTTTGGGTTCTTTTCCAATGCCCACATGTCAATCTCAACGCCGACATCTTGACTTGCTTGGAGTGCCCGAGTGACCAGCGGGCCACGGCCTGCCCCGACCACAGCAACAACAACTCGTCCGTCTGGGTTGGACGTTGGTTTTCCTTGTTCAATCCAGTCGTGCAGGGCCCGAGCGATGGCGCGCTCATACCATGCATACTTGATCGGGTCCTTCTCGAAGACTTCGTAAGTGATACTCTCGAGGTTGACGGAGAGTGGCTGCAAGGGCGCTTGGAGGTAATCTTGATAGCCGGCCCCGAAGCGATCAATGGCTGTTTGTGGTGGCTGTTTGGTTTGCAAGTTGCGCATGTACGAGAGGTGCGGGGTCGCGTCCTTGAGATTTGGACTCTGTGCTGCTTCGGCGAGGGTAGGGAATGCATTGATCTCCGTCGCCAATGGGTTCAGTGTGTTGCCGTCCGTTTTGTTGCTAGGAATCGTCCCCACATCGCACAGAAGGAACCATGGTGCCGTACGAAGCCGAGCGAATCTCAGAACAAAGGCTTGATGCGCACGAGTCAGGACGGGATACCCTTTTGCGTTCCTAGCAAATATCTCCTTGTCGAGGGTGATAAGCCGGACGGGCTCCGAGTACCATCTTGACTGGATGGGAACTGGAGGGAGCAGTTTTGGTGTCGACAGTGCTGGAGACGGTCAGCGTCAAATGACTGTATATAACACGCAAGGGTGGATGGTAGAAGAGATGTATTATGCTTACCTACACATAACCTCGCAGGATATTTACATATCGATCTAATCATGTTCCACGCCTCCCAGGATCCAAAAACATCCAATCTTTCGACTTCGGCCTCGTCCTGCTCGAGAAACTGTTGGCGGGCAAATGGTGCCAAGCTGCCCATCTGGTCAATGTGTTCCTCGGAGTGGTCGATCATCGGAAACCAAATGTATAACTGCAAATAGGGACCTTGGCTCAGGGCGTCCGAGAGTGCCCTCGCATATTGGGCAATTCCGCTGTCGGAGACACCGTGACCACGCAGAAGAGGGCCTGTGATCAAGACGTATGTGAGTCCACAGAAGGCAGCATAAGCCACTTCCAGTTGAAGCACTTGTCGAGATATATCTGCGATGATCGGATCTGGAGAACCCAGGTCGATCCAGGAACTGGTGACGCCGATGGTCTGACTGATGGACTCGTCTGGGGTCAAAGGAGAATCCGCTGGAGTTAATGGTGGTATAACAATAGGCGAAGCGCTTTTAGTCTTTGTGATGTCTTCTTCTGAATGCAGAGCAAGCGATGAAGACAGCAGAGTCAAGACCCGGGAATGGAAATGGGGAGTCGTGATGGGGCTTGTGACCATGTCGTACTTGTCTAAAGTCAGTCGACATGTGCCACTTCAGAAGCGATAGTGCTCTCACATTTGCAGCATGTGCATCTTGTATGGTGTCTATCGAGACAGGCAAGGGCCTCTTAGGGTCATGGTGCCCGATGATGAACCTTGGAAAGTCTTCCATCTCGAGGAAGAGAAGTCGATGATACTGATCAGCAGAGAATCCAAGATCCCCTATCTAATAACAGATTGAGTCCTTGTTAAATCTTAGGAATTGGGTATCAGATCGCTCCATTTTCGGGATGGCTCCAAAATTAAAATATCAAATATTCAGCCTTGTCACCAGACCATAGTCGTGGGCGGCGTGAATGTGGATCTGCAAATGAAGGGGGTACAATTAGATGGGTAATACGCTGCAGAAAGTAGTAGCAGCCGATACCTTCGTTTGAGATCAAGGGACCAGGATGGGAGTATTGACATGAAAAGTGCTTTCTGAACAGGAAGAATGTGAGGGCGCACGCTCGAGATTCCCAAAAGAGATTAGCGTGGGTCCAGCTCAATTGACACGCCCAGCAATTTTGTTTCCTTGCGATCCAACTTCGACACTCCGACTTGCATATAACATCTCGACCCTGTTGCGCAGCCCCAAGCTGCATTGACACTATGAGTGTCGCTCGGTCCTCAGAGTGTCTTTTCTGCCTCTTTTCACGATCCTCTCGCCCAAAGTCCTTTCCTCGCCGTCAGTTTCATTCCTCCCCCATCTATCAGAAACGAAAACCGCGGTTCCCAAGCGTGAAGGCAGAGATCAACCGAGTGGATCTCAATGCCAAAGCTAGGGAGTTTCCTTCGGTCCAAAATGGCACCCTTCCTCAGCGATACTCTCCGCAGCAGCGAGCAGCAATCGAGGCAGCTCAGAAACTCATCGATCTCGACCAACTGCAAACGCAGACTGGCATGCGGACAGATCCCTGGAAGCTGAAATACTACGATGAATTGACCAAGATCGATCCGGTGGTAGATAAGCCAGTGCGGGCACCGATGACCAATATCGATGACAAGTCGAGGCTAAAGACGGATGAAGAGCTGGAGGACGACTTTGTCAAGTTCATCAACAAGATCCCCGAACCGAAAAACGAAAACGACTATGACCAAGAGCTATGGGACAAGTTTGACAAGAATCTCCGCATGACCGTCGGACGTGAAGAGGCCGAGAGAAATCCTCCCACTGCACTTGCTCCGGACTTGCCCAGAATTTCGGAGCCGGCCAAACCTCAGAAAAAGAAATCTCAAAGAGATGAGGAAGGGACTGAGAGAAAGGAACGGGCCGTTTCGCCTGCTCTCCTGCAGTTGATGCAGATGACCGGATACAGCGAGAAACAAATAGCGCAGTTACGGGTCAAGACCCTCATCTTCCACAGTGTTACGAACCAGACAAGGCTAGGCAAGATAAGAAAGATGTACTGTCTAAGCATAGCCGGAAACGGTCAGGGTCTCATCGGTATCGGAGAAGGGAAGTCTCAGGAAAGCTCTGCTGCTCTGGTCCAGAGTCAGTACCGTGCCATCCGGAATATGGTTCCCATCCTGCGGTACGAAAATCGAACCATTTATGGAGATCTGAAGGCCAAGGTCAGCGCCACCGAGCTGGAACTATATGCAAGACCACCAGGTACTTTTCTTCCCCAGTCCGTGGCGAGATTGCACTGCTAACTGTACCGTTGACAGGCTTCGGGCTCCGATGTCAACAGTATATTTGGGAGATTTGCAGATGTGCGGGGATCCACGATCTATCTGCCCGCGTGACACGATCGAGAAATCCTATGAACACAGTCAAGGCTGCGGTGCAGGCTCTGTTGAGTCAGAAGCACCCCGAGGATATCGCAAGGGCTCGGGGCAAGAAGTTGGTGGATGTTCGCAAGGTGTACTATGCTGGCCAAACATAGATCAGGGATTTTGTATATTAGCATTCCCGGACCAGACATTAGACAGCAGACCATGTTTGCGTCTCTGTCGTATTTTTGTACAAAATCAGGGTGGACCAAATTTTGACCGGCAAAGGACAACACTTCCAACATGCCGCTCAGTTTTGACAAGTCCTTGTCGTGGCTCATGAGTTCGCGTCACTCGTCAAGGGATGTATCCGTCCTGTTTACCTCATGTCGTTACCCTAAGGGGTATCCATAATACAAGCACAAGACCCCAATTGGCCCTGTAAACATTTATTCGGCCGCCTCTCCCCCATCATCATCCGGTCCGTCTGCGGCGCCGGCAGCATCGTCTCCTCCCTCGACCTGCCCCTGTTGCAGAACAATGCTGTACACACTCGCCTTCATCAGCGTATAGACGCTAGCGACCTTGCGCTCCAACAACCGAAGTCCCTCGGCGATTTCGAGCGTAATAGGTCCGCCGGAGAGGTCGGCCAGCGTAGACGAGAGCTGTTCGAGGGAAAATAACAGTGTTGTGTCAGAATAGAACTAAAACTGGAACTGGAACTAGAACTGGGGTTTTTGGGAGACGTAAAAGAGAAGTAAGTTGGTTTCCGTAACCGCCTTCCAAGCAACACAAAAAAGGAAACCCTCCCCAGGATGGCATCTACATCCATCCGACGAAGGGAGACTTGATGGCACCCTTCTTCGTCTCTTGCTTGCTTGCTTGCTTCCCGGGCAGGATGGCATATCACTCCCTCCACAGATCTTTCGAGTGAAAAGTGTAGGGTAGGGTAGGGTATGGCATGGTAGAGTCGACGACACGACACAACGCGACGCGACGCGACGCGACGAGATGAGATGAGAGTGACTCACCTCCTTCATATTCCTCGATAACCTCTCGTATTCGTCCAAGACATCTTGTTCCAAGGGCGACACCCCTTCCGATGAGTGGTCCGTAAAGCTCAAGATATTGTGCCGGGAGTCGTTGTAGATGGTGCTGTCGTCCATCCCGACGTTGAGGGGTCGGAAACTGGGATTTTTGTGTGGTCGTTCTGGTGGCTGTTCACGGTACTAATTTTGTATCCCAAAGGACCACAAGCCAATCCCCCATTGATAACGCGTTGGGAGAAGTTGCGTCAGAGAATAAAATACGCCACCGGACAGCCACCTGGAAAACATACGGACGACCATAAATGAGGCTAGACGCAGGCTTCCTTTTTCTACCCCATCATTCGCGCCCCGCATATTCTTCCCCCATATCGTCAAACGGAATGAGACATGGAGAATGAAGAGTCTCTCAATGTACCTAGGCAATGTACTTGGAGGAAACCGCAACGATGAGTGGACCAGTCTGCACTACCTCGTCCCAGCCGCGGTGCCAGATCCGCACTAAAACGGCTTGTACGGCTATTATTGAGTCGTTCCCATCACATCTCCACCATATCCGAGGCTCTTCCCAAAATGGATCGTAAGGGACAGAGGGAGAGAGAGACAGATACCCACAGAGAGAGAGGGGGTGTGTGTGGTCTCTTTGCTTCCCTTTGAAACTACGATACCCCCTCGTGCCACACAGCCTTTGACAAGACTTCACCTCAGGCCTTACACAAGCAGCAATGGCACTGCTCGCTGCTGGCGCCGCCGCGGCGTTCACGGGCATCAGCATGTATCTCGATGCCAAATATTCGATTCGCAGCGACCTCGCCCAGATTCGATCAACAAAGAATATCCAAAAGTACGCGCTGGACTTGTGCGCAAAATACGGAGATGACGACTGGTCCTTCTACCACATCCTACATTCGACTTATGACCAGAACCACCACACCGACAAGGAGGCGTTCGTCTTTGAAGGCCGGAGCTGGACGTACCGCCAACTACGTGAAGAGATCGGTCGAGTGGCCGAAACATTTGAAGCGCTCGGGATCAAGAACCGAACCGTGGTTGCAATGTTCGTCAACAACTCGCCAGAGTTCATCTTTTCTTGGTGGGCTCTGTACAAGCTCGGTGCTATCGCTGCACCGGTCAATACATCCATTACCGGAACCCACATCAAGCACTGTCTCAAAGTCAGCGAAGCCACAGTCTGCATCACAACTTACGAGCTGTATGATGTCCTCGCAAAGGCTTTGGGGCAGGACGAGGCTGTCCAAGGCTCTTCAACACCTGTCTCATCATCTCTTCCGAGGATCATTCTGTACGACTATAACTCGTACCCTCCGATTCAACCTCACCTCGAAGGAACCTTGTTGCTAAAGCACGACGAGTTGCCTCCTGTCAGACCAGAGATGGCCGACTTCCCCAAACACAAGAGACCGAAGGTCGGACCCACCGATGCCGGGCAATATCTCTTTACGTCCGGAACAACAGGGATGCCCAAAGCTCTGATATGGCCGCTTGGACATGAACATCTGATTGGATTCCCAAGAATGTGGCCATTCATGCAGGGAAGCCACAGAAGGTGGTATGTCTGCTTGCCCCTGTTCCACGGCACCGCATCCTTCGCTTGCCTGCCGGCCGCATTTACGTCGTCGGCGACCGTGATTCTTGCACGGCGATTCTCCCGGCGGGAGTTCTGGGCCGACATTCGACGCTCCCAGGCGAATGCCATCGTCTATATCGGCGAAATGTTCCGTTATTTAGTCCAGTCTCCCCCAGATCCCCGATTTCCCAACGAAAAAGATCACCAGGTTGATCTCGCCTTCGGTCTGGGGCTGGCTCCCAATGTGTGGCAAGCATTCAGGGAAAGGTTTGGAATCCCTTGGATAGTAGAGTACTACGGATCAAGCGAGGGAACAACCTCGATACTGAACTCGAACAAGAACGATCTCGGGGTGGGAAAGGTCGCCCGTTGGGGTCCCATAATACGGGGTAACTGGTTTGGCCAGAGGTCGTTCTGGATCATCAGGGCCGATTTCGAGACAGGGGAAGTGCTAAGAGATCCCAAGACAGGGTTTTGCATCAAGGCACAGCTGGGAGAGGTTGGTGAGGCCATTTCCAAGATCGCCCCTCCATTCCAAAGGCGCCACGACTACGTCGGAGAGGGTGGTGCAGAGGCTACTCTGAAAAAGTCCCTGAGGGATGTTTTCGAGAAAGGGGACGAATACATTCGATTCGGGGACGCGATGGTGATGGTAAGTTCAAGCCATAAATTGGAGAGAGAGCATGCTGAGCCGACATCTCTTGTAGGACGAAGATGGATTCATTCAATTTCGTGACCGACTTGGAGGTACGTGATTGTCCATGAGACCTCCTCCTTGGGCGC